TAAAAATTAGAGGACATGACCTCTAGAATCTGAGTTAGTATGCTTTTATCAATTTTTTAAATATAATTCCCAGAAGATTTGAAATAAATGCTGTGAGTCTGTGGGTAAACTATGAATTGTTTCATAGCTTGCTACTACTGACATAACTACACCCCGGGGAGGGGCAGACATCTCATGGGGCAAAGCGATGGAGCTTATGTTCTTGCTGGTCACCTGGGCCTCTGCTCTTCCTTTTGCCCAAAATAAGAAGCTAATGTGCAGGCTGCTTAAAATTACTAACCATGTAGCTACTGTAGGGTTTGGGCATTTTTATAATAAGATATTATCTGAGGGATTTAAAGGTTTGTAAAGAAAGTGGAGCATATAGTGATTATCTTTCAGCAGGCGTATGTGTACTGAGTACCCCTACAGGATTTGAGCCGTGGTGTGGCTTAGAATAGCGTCTAGTGCTCCTGTGTTTGGTGGAGAGCAGAAGAGATGTGAAGGGCACTGTTGGAGGAAATGGGACACAGAGTTGAAGGGGGGGGGGCTTGCAATGAGCTAATTAGAAGTCAAGGAACTCATAGAGCATTTTGGGAGAAAGGATCAAGAGAAATGGTATTTTTAGGGCAAACTTCATGGAGTTGGCTGGTCAAATGGTCAGGGTTCCAACCAGAAACAGAAAAGAAGTTTGTCCAAAAAGAGGTTCAATAAAAGAGCTCAGCTATGGGTTGAAGGGTTGGAGTAGAGAACAAGAGCCAGAGGAGGTGTAACTTTAAAGACTAGGCCGAGAGAGCAGGCTCTCCCTCTGAAAAGAGATGAAAGCCACTAGGCCAAGGAAGAATTTGATGTAATGGTAAAAAGCAAGGATTCTACACTCAGACTGCCTGGGTGTGAATCCTGGCTTTACTGCCACTTGTGTGGCCTCAGGCAAATCACGTAATAGCTCTGTGCTCCAGGAAAATGGGGATAATAGCATCTACCTCACAGGAGTGTTGCCGGAATTAACTGGATTAATTTATGTAAAGTTCATACAGTAGTACCTAACCAAACTTGTTGCCATCAAGTCAATTCTGACTCATAGTGACTCTATAGGACAGAGTAGAATTATCCCATAAGGTTTCCAAGGCTCTGATCTTTACGGAAGCAGACTGTCAAACATCTTTCTCCCTTGGAGTGACTGGTGGGTCGAATCACCAACGTTTCTGTTAGCAGCTGATCACTTAACCACGGTGCCACCAGGACTCCTTCAACAGTGACTAACCAAAACCAAACCCGTTGCCATCAAGTCTATCCTGACTCACAGCGACGTCATAGGACAGAGTAGAACTGCCTGATAGGGTTCCCAAGGCTGTAATCTTTATGGAAGCAGACTGCCACATCTTTCTCCTGCAAAGCAGCTGGTGGATTTGAACCCCCAACCTTTTGGTTAGTAGCCGAGAGCTTAACCACTGCACCACCAGAGTTCCTTCAACAGTGTCTAGCAGGAAGTATATTCAATTCATAATAGGTATTATAATAATAATAACCATGATTATTATTAATATTACTTCACTTTTCACCCATCAAAGGACTTCAGATAATGACAGTTGTATACATGGTGCGCCTCAAGTCAATGTTTAGCTGCTGAGCCCTTAAATACTTAGAACATATAAAGCCCAGGTACTTTGGTTGAACTGACTGATGCCTGGAACACTGCCCACTACTCTTCCTTCTCTTGAGTGCTGTGGTCTACACCTCTAGTACATGTCTGTGGACCACATTTTGTAAGAATACAAGGCTTGGAACCAAAGACCTGGAATCAGGCCCTGTCTATCATTAACAGACTGAGCAACCTGCAGCAGATTAATACCTCCCTGGCCTCAGTTTCCTCATTCTATAATGTAAGAGTTAAACTTGTTCAGTGGTTTTCAAACTGTGCTCTATAAAACCCTAAGAGTTTCAGAGACGGTGCAGGAAGATCTGGGGAGTGGGTGGTGGGGAACATGCTGGATGAAGATTGGGAACCCAACATGGCAAATGCTAGAGCTGCTGTGTTTTACGTATTGGAATTTCATAATATTTGTTTGAAGAATAAGTACCACTGTTAGAGAAATGTTGGACTACATAATCTTAAAAGTGTCTTTAGATTCAGTTATTCTACAGTTCCTGTCTTAGGGTGGGTTCTCTAGAGAAGCAAAACCAGTAAAGCGTGTAAATATATATAGAGAGATTTATATCAAGGAAATGGCTCATGCTGTTGTAGAGGCTGGAACGACCCAAGTCCATGGGTCAGGATAGAGGCATCCCCTGATTCCTGTAGCTGCAGGGGCTGGTGAACCAAAGATTAGCAGGCTGGAGAGTAGAGTTGTTGCTCACAGGCTGTGAAGATTGACGAATCCCAAGATCAGCAGACAAGACCACAGGTAAGCTGCTAGCTCAAGTCCCAAGAACCAGAGGTCAGATGAACAGGCGCCAGATGCAGGATCCAGAGCGAGCAAAAACCCATGAGCCTTGCCAGAGTGTCCACTCACATTTGATGCAGGCCACATGCCCAAAGAAACTCCCTTTCAGCTGATTGGCTACTCACAGTAGATCCCATCATGGAGATGATCACATTATATCAGATCTCATCATGGAAGTGATCACAACATCATACCACTGCCAAACCACTGAGAATCATGGTCCAGCAAAGTTGACACACAACCTTAACCATCACAGTTCCCCAGAAATTTATGAAATTTATTCATTGAACCAAAGTAGCAGGAGTAAGAATATGAGTGAAAACAGCAAGTCCTAAATATGTGGAAACCAAGTAGTCAGGAAAACCATGTGGATTATGCACAAGGTGATGTGCAGTGATTAAGATGTCTCAGTATCTCTGATATCCAGAGAAAAGAAAAAACCTTTGTTACATGAATTTAATGTAGATACTTCAGCCTCATTATTGTGTGCATGTGGAACATAGAGTGTCTCAATCATAATTAAGTTTGTGGACCAAGAAGGTGCTTTATGATAAGAATATTACATACTTACCATCAGAAGACAACTAAAATGAACAATTATTTAAACACTGTTGTAGGACTTCTCTTTACAGTTGGTGATTTCAGAAAATATAACCCTTTCAAAGCAAATGTCAAATTAAAATTCTACATTTGTAGTTATTGTGTAAGGTGGGAACCTGTCAGAGAAGGAAAACTCAAATATTTTCCACTAAAACAAGTGATAGAAAAGTGGTAAGACTGCGCCCTGACAAAGGCAGAAAACTTGTGAGACTCAGAAGAACAAGGCAGTCCCGTTGAGTTCTGGCTGACACAGATTTCCCTGTATTTAGGTAGATAAAGTTACTATGTTCCCTCTAGACATAAAACCTATAGCTCATTAGTGAGTCTGTAGCTGGACAATGAATAAGGAAGACTGAAGAAGAACTGATGCCTTTGAATTATGGGGTTGGTGAAGAATATTGAATATACCGTGGACTGCCAAAAGAATGAACAAATCTGTCTTGGAAGAAGTACAGCCAGAATGCTCCTTAGAAGCAAGGATGGTGATACTTGGTCATTTTTAGCTTGACGGAAGCAAAGGAAAACCTACGTGAACTTACAGAATGATAGCATCTGTTTACCTGTAATTTCAATAGTGATTAATTTAAAAGAGGAAGGGCTGACTCCCCTTGTAGACTTCATATATGGTGTGAGTTGATGGCTGCTTGATGATTTTTTTTTTCTCCAATTATATCTCCCTTGCACCATTTAAAACTTATATCGTTGTACCATTTTTTGGTATGTGTTAAAGTATAATATTTTCATGGTTTCACTGCTGAAATATGCTAGCTTGGAGCAACATCAACCACTAATACTTGAGCATGGCTTAGTTTGTCAGATTACTTTCAGAGAGTTGGATCCTGGGGAACTGGGACTAGGGGACAATAGCATTTGATGGGGGATGGAAATCAGAAACGTCTGGGACACAGGGGGAAGGTACACAGATATGGGAGCAGAATCTTTGGAGGTCAGGAGGCCGCACTGAGCAAAGGAGATGGTGACAGTGGGAAAAACTGGGGCCAAACTGCCCTCTGGAGATCCAGTGCAACACCTTGTACATGATGCGTCTCCAGTAAATGATAGCTGAATCAAATTAGCTTTTTTTTTTTTTTATCCTGAGGATGGTTTTGGCTAAAACTAGAGACTTAATATTTTCAGTTACTAAATTTTTTTGTATGACTTCTTTTCTAAAATCAAGCTTCTTAAGAAACCTTGATTTTTCTGTTTGAAATTGTTTTAAATAATACGTTTTGTGCCAGAAAAAAAAAATCCATTTTAAGGGAAAACACTTCATATGGAAAGCATAAATAATTCTTCCTTTAATAAGACAGTTCCTGTTATAACCATTGAATAACACATCTGCTGCAAAGGTGTTATTTTTTCACAATCCATGTGCACAGCTCTGATTAGAGGAGGTAAAAGATGCACATCTCCTTCAAATGGTGAATTAGACCTGGTGGGGAAAGGGTGTATTTTATTATGACAGATTTTGTTATTATGAAAGCCCTGAATAGATCTCTTTTTTGAAAATACTTTTTAAAAATGTAATTCTCTGTCTCAACTCTCTTTGTGATGAATGACTGTTGATTTCAGAAATAAAGTACCTGAAAGGCATCTTTCTCCAGTACTAATATTTTTATTGCTCCACATAACACTTTATATCAAGGTCCCCTGAAGAAAAAATTTTAAGAAGCGTCTTTTCCATACTTTTTCTTCCATTTAGGCTTTGCTCACACCTGCTATTTTTGGCATAAGCCTAGACATGTCACAATACCTTCATTAAGTGAAACCAGAAGATAATTCTAAACCCAGGTGCCTTGGTTTAAACCTTGACTCTATTGTTCATTTACCTCATTGTTCAGATGTACTTCATTTTAAAAAATAATATTCACACAATAAAGTTGAAGAATAAGATTATTAAAAAGCTTTAAAAATACATTTTTTAAGATATCAAACCTATTACAAGATGTGGATTAACCGTCTTCTATTCATTTCCAGGGCGACAGCAACACACAGAGGCCAGGTTATTTTCAAAGACGCTTTAGCCCAGCAGTTGTGTGAACAAGGAGGTAAGAGTTCCGTTTTACTGTTATTGATGTGTTGATTGTGTCAGAATTATTCACGGTAGATCTTACTGTTTTATGTTCTGACTGAGCATTTCATTAGTATTTCAGGTAGTCCCTAACTTACGATGGAGTTCTGTTCCAACAACTCTGTCCTAAGTCGATCCTCACATAAGTTGAATACCTCATTTTTTTTTTTTTAAGATTTCATTATTATTGCCTTTTACTATCAGTATCTTTATAAATTCTGTCTTTATCTGTCTTTGGGGGTTGGTATGAGAGTAATAACATCACTAAATTGTGCACTACAGCCATGTATGTAGTAATGATAAGATGTACAAGAAGCAACAACAAAACAACAGATGACCGTCAGTGCTGCTCACTGTAACTCAAACATGGCTTCAGACGGGGACTACCTGTACTTGGTCATGATGCTTTAAAAATGGTATGATTGACCCCTTAATGTTACTAGTAATTAATAAAGGTTTGTAGACTTTTACAAATACTGTGAACAAAACTAACCAAGAGAAAATTTATCCTATTTTAAATTTTTTTTTTCTAATGAATTACCTTTAGTTATACTGGAAATATAAACCCTAGTAGTAATTTAGTATTCTACAAAAGCACACCTGCTTAATTTACCACTTAAATTTCTTTTCAACTTTATTGAAAATGTTTCTGTTTATTGCTTTTAATATTTGATCATTTTATACATAAACACGTGTTGGGTATCTATATGCTTGTTTCCACTGTGTGCCCTATTATTTTCAGACTTGTGGGTAGGAACTGCATCATTTGAAATTTAAACTTTGTATTATATTAGATATGACAGGGGCTTGATAACATTAAGTGACATCGCTACTGACACTGTCTCATACATACCCAGACCCTTGTCCATCTGTACCGAATTTTCACAAATGAGTGCACACGTGTGCACATGTGCACACACGCAGACCATGCACACACACACACAATGAAAGGTGAAAGCCAGAATCCTTACCTCCAGATTTGTTTCCCCTGCCCCTTGAACTTTCACTTGATTTTGTTTGTATCTCCATTTACCACTACAGAGTTTACCTATAACCTACTACAACAGTGGTAGATGCTGCCCTCAAGAGACTGAGCTTCTCAAATATAGATTATACCTTAGTGATCTTTGGTTCTCCAGTGCCTAGAATATAACAGCCATCCAAAAAAAAGTCAGTAGACTTGTATAGAAGCTTGTCTCAACCATGCATGTATGTTTGACTTAAGCATCTTGAAGACTAATACATATGAAGCCAATCTTTGTGAGTTCCATGACATTTTCACTGATCATCATATACATATTACCAGTTTTTGTTTAGAATTATGTTTTTGGGGAACTTATTAACTTAAGAATCACATAATTGAACATAAAGGAAATTTCTACTAATTATCTTTCTGCTAAAGAATATGTAGTGGGTTTATGAGGAAAATAGAGAAAAATTATAATGGTTTTTAAAAGGTCTAAGAAAATAATATTTATAATTAATTGTAATATATACATCATCAATATGGCTTTATCTAAATAATGTGATACTTGATGATTATTACTGGCACGCTTCTAATTGTTTACATCCATAGCTTTTGAATCAGAAAACCCCATTGTAGTTTCAAGAGCGTTATCAGTACTCTTGGGTTAAACAAACTTTTCTTTTGTGACCTTTGAGAAAGCTAATATTAAAATATGATAGCCTTGTAGGTAGGCACAAAAATTCTATTGTAATGTAAATCTTTTTCCAGACTATGAAAATGTTCACATTACTGAAAATACTGGAACATCATATAGCAGTGAACATTAGCATCCTGAAAAATGCATAGCGTCAGAAAAAGATGTATCTAATTTTATTAACCCTCATCATTGCTTAAAATCTGATTTCTTATAAGCCTTAGCTTTTTGTGTCTTCTAATATAAATGAATGGTTGGAACTGGGTTCATTTAAATTGAAAAGAAAAATCCAAAAAAAAAAAAAAAAAAAGATGGAAAGAAACCTCAACCAATGAGAAAAAAAAAAAGTGCCTTATATAGTAGCAGTGTACATGAACGTGATTTACATGACGGTAGAAGTGGGTGTTACAAAAAATACAGCCCAGGACCAATAGGAAACATTGAGCTTTTCAATAGCACCTAATCAACTAAAACCATATCAATTCATCCAAGACAGGGTTGAAAAAGAATACTAACGAGAGTGATATCTTTGTGCTGTTAGGAAATAATAAGGGAAATAATTGGTGCTATAAAATATATTTTCATTTTGGCCGCTTCTACTTTTAATTAAAACATTAATTATCTCCTCAAATAAAACAGCATAATCTTAACATGTAATACTTTTCTGTGCGTTGGATGAGGAATATCTAATATATTATTAGAGAAAAAATTGGCAATCACGACATACCAGAGCACAGCACCTTTCAATGAGAACATAACTCAGTGTGTTTGCTGATTTTAATTAAACAATCTAAACAAAGCAGTTATTAATATAAGACTGTATTGATGCTAAGAATATTGAAAAAGTGAAAGGATTAGAACACGTTCTAGTGATGGCTTAGATAAGAGTAGTCTGTAATTTTGAGCCCTTTCCTAAAAAGACATTTATTAAGGAACTTTATTCTACAAACATTTATCCAGCATCTCCAAGAGCCCATCCTAGCTCACTGCACTAAATAAGTATATAAAAGTGAAAAAGCCCATTTCCTGTTCTCTAGGAACTGAAGAGCTGGGATATAAAATGGCAGGTCAGGGGATCATAGAGGGTAGCGCAATTTGCCTGGGGCTTCAGGAAAGATCCCAGGGAGCTGGTACTGAAGGGTCAGCAGCAGTTTAAGAGAAATGGGAGGAAGATTTCCATCCATTTCCTCTTTCCCATTTCCACTGTCCCCCCCCCCCCCTTAGATCAGGCCGCTATCACCTCCTTTGGGAATTGCTCAATACTTCCTCCTTAGTTTCCTTGCTGTAATAAGCTTCCTAAAGTGGAAGTATCATTCTGTCACTTCCCTGCTTAAAACTCTTCAATAGTTTATCTTCAGAGTAAAATCTCTACTGCTTATCTTGGCATACAAGAAAAACCCTTTGTAATCTAGTTTCAGTTTACCTTTCCCATTTTATTTCTTGTATGCTCTCATTCCCACCCTAAAATTCCCTGAATGCACCTCACTTTTCCTCACCCCACATCTGTGCTATTCACAATGTATACACTCCCTGTTTTCTTTGCCTGAACTACCATTTTACATCTTCTTTGTCTAACTCAGGCTTTCAGATGTCACTTAGGCATTACCTCCTCCAGAAAAAAAAAAATCTCTACCCATCTCAGGCTCGTCTAGGAACTCTTTTGCATACATGCTGACATAACTCCCTATACATAACCCTCAAAGCAGAATAATAATGCAAATAGAAATACTTTCAACACTATTATGTGTAAGACACCACTCTAAGTATTCTACAGACATTTTTACCTCTTGCTGTCTTTTGAGAATGGGGAAGACCAGAGCATGTTGATGGACTTCCAATGCCTTATAGCCAGACACCACCAGAAACACACCTACAGTTGAACAAATTGGGTTTAGTGCTCATTCCAGTGTGGGAATCTACATATCATGGAGAATTATGCGGCATCTCAGCAATGAGATGTTATGAAAGGAATTACTATAAGATTTCAGTCTGTATTTGGTGACTTAGGGGAGGGTTTAAGGAAGCAAGATTTTGCTTTAGATTGTATGCTGCCAGAAAGCAGGGGTAATTCTATGGTTAGGTATCTCAATAAATCTCATCTAGAGGGAAGGCAGACTAGAGCAAGGCTAAGCTGTAATTGGTAAAGGAGAAGCAATCACTCATAGTAGCCAGGACTGGGGAACATTTGGTGTTTTGTGACTTGGACAATGCTCATGTTTTGTCTGTGTTCAGACATGATTACCAGGTGGACTTGTGTCTGTCTTGATCCATCATGGTCACTGAGTAGTCACTGAGGTTGATGTTCTGTGAAATTGTTTTTATGTTCAACAGAACACCAAGACCTTGTAGATAATACCAGGTCAGCTCCTGAATGTCAGAGGCTGCCTTTCTCTTTCCTGAGGTTGAGGAGAGAATGCTAATGGGTGTCATTGACTTTTGGATTTAGGGTTTATGAGGACTTTGGAATCATAGAGAAGTGGGTTTGAATCCGGGCTCTGCATGTGTGACCTTACCCTCCATTGTTCTTGATACAAAATATATGCTCAGTAAATGATAAAAGGAAAGGATAATTGCTGGAGCAAAGTTTTAGTCAAAGTCAGCAAGTACAGTGTCAAGAGCATAGGTAGATGTGGGTGGTGGAATTGTGAATGTTTATTTTATTTTTATTTAAGCTTATTTGTATTTTCTAATTTTTTTAAATTTTTTTATTGTACTTTAGATGAAGTTTTACAGAACAAATAATTTCTCATTAAACAGTCAGTACACATATCATTTTATGGCATTGGTTAACAACCCCACAACATGTCAACACTCTCCCTTCTTAATCTTGAGGACTTTTTTTTTTTGGTGAAAATATACGTAGCCAGAGTTACCCCATTTTGACATGAACAATTCAGTGACATCGATTACATTCTTCCAGTTGTGTTGCTATTCTCACTATCCTTTTCCAAATTATTCCATCACCATTATCTTCAACTCACTGTCCCTAGGCTTCCCATCAAAACTTTTGAGTTGCTGTTGTCAATTTGATCTCACATAGATAATTCTTTTTTTTTTTTTTGTACCTTAGATGAAGGTTTGCAGAACAAATAGTTTCTCATTAAACAGTTAGTACACATATTGCCCTATGACAATGGTTAACAACCCCATGACATGTCAACACTGTCCCTTCTCAACCTTGGGTTCCCTATCACCAGCTTTCCTGTCCCCTCTTGCCTTCTAGTCCTTGTCTCTGGCCTGCTGTGCCTCATTAGTCCTGTTTTATTTTATGAGGCTGTCCAATCCCCAGCTGAATGGTGAACTTTGGGAGGGACTT